AAAAAATAAAACATAAATAAATTTAAAAAAGCTTACTATTCTGATAGCTTAGAAGCAGCTAAAAGCCAGAACAAAGTCACACGAAGTTATTAGGTAAAAAGAAGCTAAAGTTTAAAACCAAACAATAGCCAAATGCTAAAGTTAGCAAAAACAGTAGCTAAAAACCTTATTTAGAAACAGCATTTATTGTCCGGCAGCGGGGAAACTCAGGTGTAAACAGCAGCAGCAGTATGTGGCATTATCAACTGTTGCAATAATAACAATTAAAATAATAATAAATAAATAATAGAATAAAAGATGGGAAGATGAGATAAGATAAAAATAAAAGTAAGATGCCGTGCATAAAAATAAAAAAATAACAAGAAAAACGACAGACTCATGATCCGAGGTGTGCACATTCAGTCAAATTCAGTCATTAAGAGAGGAAAAACTGCAATTAATACAGAGTATTATTTATGACAGAGATACTGTAGAGTTGTTTRATGTTCRAACACAAACATGGACGGTTATCATGATTGTTGGGAGCAGTGATGGTTGTAGAGTCTAACAGCTGATGGGAGGAAGGATCTGCGGTAACGCTCCTTTGTGCGTTCAGGATGCAGCAGTTTGTCACTGAAGCAGCTTTGCAGATCAGCTACAGTTCCACTGGGTGGTTATTTTAGTCTTCTGTCTCCCACCACCTGCACTGGGTCGAGGGGGCATCCCAGCACAGAGCTGGTCTTCCTGATGAGCTTTAGCAAACCATGGCTAAAATTATAACAGCCAAAAATGTAGCTAAAAGCTAACATTTGGCAGAAATATAACTAAAATTTAAAATGAGCAAAACATTTGCCAAAATATTAAGCGTCTAAAAACTAAGATTAGCACAACAGTAGCTACAAGCTAAACTGAAGCTAATATTCTAAATAGCAAAACATTAGCCTAAAACTAAAATGATCAAAACAGCAGCTAAATGCTAGATCTGACATCAGTAGGTAAAATCTAGGATTACAAAAAAATATGTCCAAAACAAAAAAGGAAACAGTYGTTAAAAGCTAAAATTGGGGAGACTAACAGCTAAAAGCTAAAATAGATTAAACTGGCTAAAATTCTAAATAGCAAACTATAAACTTAACACTAGCAAAAGCAATGGCTTAAAGCTAAGTTAGGTTAAAACTGAAAATGAGCAAAACATTAGCTGATATCTAGCATAAATTAGCTAAAAGCTTATATTACACAACAGTAGCTAAAACTAGCTAAAATTATAAATAGCAGAAGCTTAATGCTAAAATCAGCAAAAATATAGCTAAAAGCTCAGTTTAGCAAAACAGTAGCTTCAATTGTTAATAAGCAAAAATAGTAGCTAAAAGTTACAATTGGCAAAAATATAACTAAAATTTAAAATGAGCAAAACATTTGCCAAAAATGTTATATATTGTCTAAAAACTAAGATTAGCACAACAGTAGCTACAAGCTAAACTGAAGCTAATATTCTATTTTATTTTTTGATGGCCTCCCTTCTTCCGCTATAGCCATCCTCTCCACA